TCGGCAGATCCCAGTGGTCCTTACGCTGAGCTAGTGGGTTGCCTCATGTACCTGATGACTTGCACTCGCCCAGATCTCGCATACCCTCTCAGCATCCTGGCTCGTTTCGTGGCCACAGGCAGACACCGACCTCAGCACTGGTCTGCTGCTAAGAGGGTTTTGCGTTATCTTGCAAGTACATCGGGCATGGGGTTAGTGCTAGGCGGACGCAGGCCAGTGGTCCTTACTGGACACACAGACGCTTCTTGGGCAGACGACGCCGAGACGCTCAGGTCTTCCCAGGGCTACTGTTTTAGCCTTGGCTCAGGTGCTGTCTCGTGGAGAGCTACCCGCTCCTCGTCTGTTGCCCAGTCCAGCTGTGAGGCTGAGATCTACGCCGGTGCCATGGCGGCACAGGAGCTCCGCTGGCTGACCTTCTTGCTCACTGACTTAGGTGAGCGGCCTAGCTCTGCCCCGGTCTTGTACGCTGACAACAGGGCCATGATCCTCCTGTGTCAGGAGCCTCGACTCGAGGGTAGAGCGAAGCACATCCAGCTGCGGTACTTCCTCCTGCGCGAGCTACAGCAGCGTCGCCAGGCTCGCGTAGTACACTTGGCCTCCGGTGCCAACACAGCTGATATCTTTACGAAGGCGCTTGCGCCTAAAGATCATCAGCGGCACTGTGTACAGCTTGGTCTGGTTCCTGTAGTCCCTCACTTACTCGGGCCTTGACTTTGTACTGTCCTATATATATGTGTACACTCAGACTGGACTTGTGTCCTCTCACAGTGGTTGGACTAGTAGTGCCGCCCTGTACTTGTTCTTGTCTTGTCTGTACTCCTTCTGACTGGTCTGTTAGACCCTTGTCTCAGAGGCTGGACTAGTAGTGCCGCCCTGAGCTGCTTGTCTAGGACATTCCCCTATGCAGTCCAGGGGGTGTGTCAAACATGTATTATTGATCATGTTTGTATAGACTGTATAGGGTAACCTCCTAGAGGGTACAATATTTAGGTATATGTGCATGTACTCTCTAACTCTATCAATTATTAAAATTCTAGTCTTGAGAGTCTAGGGGGTGTGTCAAACATGTGTATTAGTTATGTTTGCATAGACTGTATAGGGTCACCTGTTAGAGGGTACAATACTTAGGTATATCTATCTGTACTCTCCCACTACTCATCATTCACTTCTCATTCTGATAAGTGTCTCAGAGTCTCAGACGAAAAAATACGCGTTATCTGAATTCTTATACGAAAGTCTACACCTGGTCTGAACTTTCAGACGGAATCTTATGGCTTGTCTGGACGATCAGGCGAATTAATTTAGCCCGTCAAAAAATCAGATGAAAGGAAAAAAAACAGGTCTGCTTTTCAAACCATCAGACCGATTTCGTCTGATATCTGAGACACTGAGTGGGGTGCCTCTAAAAAAAAAGGCTGAAAAATCAGGACCTGCCTTTTACAAAATCCTGCGCAATCAGGGATAGTACCAGCAACAACCCTACTTCTTTCCTGAATCAGGAGAATTTTCCTACAATCTAGGGGCCTGATCCCGACGAACGAACAGCCGGCAGATAACTTTACCAAGGCATTGCATTTTCCAGCGTTCGATCGATGCTTCGGCAGAATGGGTCAAGTGCGATTGTTTGCGGAGGGGAGAGCAGAAGAAGTCTCTTCTGAGGAAGGGTAGGTGCCATGACCTCTCTCATGGCTGGTGCGGTGATTCAAGCGTGGAGAGGGGAGAGGGGGATGGGGAGATGATAAGAGGGGGATGGGGAGAGGAGAAGAGGGGGATGGGGAGAGGAGAAGAGGGGGATGGGGAGAGGAGAAGAGGGGGATGGGGAGAGGACGCGATGGGAGGAAGAGGGTGAGAGGACGTGCGATTGCATGCGAGAGGACTGGGTTTGCACGGGAGGGGGTGGGAGGTGGAAAGAGGAAGGACGGGAGGGGGTAAGGTTTGGAGCTGAAGGGAAGGGATAGAAGGGATGGGAGGGATACGAGGGATAGCACAGTGATTTTTACATCTGTTCTTACCCCCGTTTGTATCTCGCTCAGAGTGCCACCCGCAGATTCTTGGTTCATCCGTTTCCCCCTCCATTCTTGATTCTTGTCCCCCCCTCCATTCTTGGTTCTTGTTCCCCCCTCCTCACCTCACCTCTGCACAGAGTGTCATCCCTACTCCACTCTCCCTCCCGCAAGGGTGAGTTCTTGCAGAGGGAACAAGGCCGCCAGTGCCACAGGCGTGGTGGGGAGAGGATTGGGCGTAGTAGCCGAACTATTTGTTTTTCTTTCAAATTAGATATATTTATGCTCAATATACTGTTGTATTTCTATAATATAATCTTATCAGAGATCCGCCATTGTCTGCCTACTGTTGTAGGCATTTTCTAAGAACACCTTTTTTGTTGTACACATGCTCCTCCTACTTTTTGTATCTAAAGAGCCAATCAGCTCATTATATGTTTCTTTGGATATGCTGCTTACTTCTAACGAGCTTCCAATCATGCAGCGTGGGTTGCGCGCCTAGATTACCCTTTATGGTGCATGGGTGTGCTGGCGTGAGCTGGGGCGACCTCGCCACGTCATGACCCACTTCCTGCTGTGCTTCCCCCAAATCATCGCACGTGTGGGCAGGGCGACGCAGCTCCATGCCTGGCAAGGAGGGTTCGTCCCTTCCCCTCTCACCCAACAACATACTCTGGGAGTTTGAACAACCCCAGGGTACGTCCCTTCCCCTCTCACCCACCACCATACTCTGGGGGTTTGAACAACCCCAGGGTACGTCCCTTCCCCTCTCACCCACCACCATACTCTGGGGGATTGAACAACCCCCAGGTACTTCCCTTCCCCTCTCACCCACCACCATACTCTGGGGGTTTGAACAACCCCAGGGTACGTCCCTTCCCCTCTCACCCACCACCATACTCTGGGGGTTCGAACAACCCCAGGGTACATCCCTTCCCCTCTCACCCACCACCATACTCTGGGGGTTTGGAGCCCCCCAAGGTATGTCAAGGGCAGAAGTGGGGAGGTGAGGCGAGAGTGTGGAAGAGGAGAGTGTGGTTTGAGCCTCCAGCGGCAACAAGAGGGCGAGAAAGGGGAGGGGAGTCAGACACCCAAGGGGGGGTTGGGACCCCCAAGCTAGGGCGAACCAGAGGCAGAAGAGGGGGGTTCCCCTGCCCCTAGCTCCCCCTGACTTGGGGGATTTAGCCCCCACTCCCCACTCTCCCACTCACCTCCCCTGGGGGATTCAGCCCCCACTCCCCACTCTCCCACTCACCTCCCCTGGGGGATTCAGCCCCCACTCCCCACTCTCCCACTCACCTCCCCTGGGGGGTTCAGCCCCCACTCCCCACTCTCCCACTCACCTCCCCTGGGGGATTCAGCCCCCACTCCCCACTCTCCCACTCACCTCGCCTGGGGGATTCAGCCCCCACTCCCCACTCTCCCACTCACCTCCCCGGGGTAATTCAGCCCCCACTCCCCACTCTCCCACTCATCTCCCCTGGGGGATTCAGCCCCCACTCCCCAGTCTCCCACTCACCTCCCCTGGAAGATTCAGCCCCCACTCCCCACTCTCCCACTCACCTCCTCTGGGGGGTTCAGCCCCCACTCCCCATTCTCCCCCTCACCTCCACTGGGGGATTCAACCCCCACTCCCCACTCTCCCACTCACCTCCCCTGGGGGGTTCAGCCCCCACTCCCCACTCTCCCACTCACCTCCCCTGGGGGATTCAGCCCCCACTCCCCACTCTTTCACTCACCTCCCCGGGGTAATTCAGCCCCCACTCCCCACTCTCCCACTCACCTCCCCAGGGGAATTCAACCCCCACTCCCCACTCTCCCACTCACCTTCCCGGGGGAATTCAACCCCCACTCCCCACTCTCGCACTCACCTCCCCGGGGGAATTCAACCCCCACTCCCCACTCTCGCACTCACCTCCCCTGGGGGATTCAGCCCCCACTCCCCACTCTCCCACTCACCTCCCCTGGGGGATTCAGCCCCCACTCTCCCACTCAGCTCCCCTGGGGGATTCAGCCCCCACTCCCCACTCTTTCACTCACCTCCCCTGGGGGATTCAGCCCCCAGCCCCCACTCTCCCACTCAGCTCCCCTGGGGGATTCAGCCCCCACTCCCCACTCTCCCACTCACCTCCCCTGGGGGATTCAGCCCCCACTCCCCACTCTCCCACTCATCTCCCCTGGTGGATTCAGCGCCCACTCCCCACTCTCCCACTCAGCTCCCCTGGGGGATTCAGCCCCCACTCCCCACTCTCCCACTCACCTCCCCTGGGGGATTCAGCCCCCACTCTCCCACTCAGCTCCCCTGGGGGATTCAGCCCCCACTCCCCACTCTCCCACTCACCTCCCCTGGGGGATTCAGCCCCCACTCCCCACTCTCCCACTCATCTCCCCTGGGGGATTCAGCCCCCACTCCCCACTCTCCCACTCACCTCCCCTGGGGGATTCAGCACCCACTCCCCACTCTCCCACTCACCTCCCTGGGGTAATTCAGCCCCCACTCCCCACTCTCCCACTCATCTCCCCTGGGGGATTCAGCCCCCACTCTCCACTCTCCCCCTCACCTGCCCTGGGGGATTCAGCCCCCACTCCCCACTCTTTCACTCACCTCCCCGGGGTAATTCAGCCCCCACTCCCCACTCTCCCACTCACCTCCCCTGGGGGATTCAGCACCCACTCCCCACTCTCCCACTCACCTCCCCTGGGGGATTCAGCCCCCACTCCCCACTCTCCCACTCACCTCCCCTGGGGGATTCAGCCCCCACTCCCCACTCTCCCACTCACCTCCCCTGGGGGATTCAGCCCCCACTCCCCACTCTCCCACTCATCTCCCCTGGGGGATTCAGCCCCCACTCCCCACTCTCCCACTCACCTCCTCTGGGGGATTCAGCCCCCAGCCACTGAACCACTCTATCCTACCAACCCACTTTACCCCGCAGCCCCACCCAAGCCCCTCCCCCTTCCCCCCCCCAGCAGCAGGAGCAGCACACAGCCCCTTCCGTTTCGGAAGCACCACCCAAGCGGCTGTGCCTTGCAGTGAGGGGAGCGGCGGTGGAAAAGCGTTTCTGGCTCAAGGCTCCAATCCACCCCCTGCCGTAGCATGAGCTTGCCCGAACCACAGCCGGCTGGCACGGCTGTGGCAGGGCCTATTGTGCTTTAACGGCGCAGGTTCGGACCTGGAGCACCGACTGCCTCCCCACGCTAGTTCCACCAGCCGCACCCCCACCAGCAACGCACTCACCAGCCTGCCTGCTGCCCCCCACGGAGTGAACTGCTTGCTGCTCCCGTGCCTCCCACCCCACCCCTTACCCCTCCCCTCTCTTCCCCCCTTTTGCCTCCCCACCTCCTTATATCCACTTACCAATGAGATGCAGAGCACCATGAGGAGAGACGCCGCTGGGGGGGAGGGGGGGTTGGTGAGTGGGTGGACTCCGGTCCAACTGTCATCCAGGAGCTCACTCCTTGGGGCTGGCGAGGGAAGGGGAGGGAAGGGGAAGGGGAGGGGAAGGGGGTGGGGGGGGAGTGACATCAAGTGGCGCCTTGCTCCTCCTCTTGCTCCTCCTCTTGCTTCTCCAGAAGTTGCTGGGGAAGGGGAAGAGGGGGGGGGATGAAACCAAGAGGCGCCTAGCCCTCCTCTCGCTCCTCCAGGAGTCCTTGCCACGTCAGAAGCTGAGGAGAGGGGGAGAACGGAAGGAGAGGCTGGTACGATGCAGCATCAGACCTTACCTTACCTGGTGCCTTACCTCGCTCACTCCTCACGCCCTACCTATCCTGCCCCACCTATTCACGCCCTACCTATCCTGCCCTCTAGCTAGCTAGCCGCTGCCCCAGCTGCTGCTTCTGCTGCTGCTGCCCCCCCTCTGCTTCTAGTTGCTGCTGTCTTGAATGCCTGCTGCTGCTGCTGCTGCTGCTGCTGCTGCCGAGTGACCTGCAAGGGGGAAGTCAAGGGGGAAGAGGGTTGGGGGGGAAGGAGATTAACGGCCGAATGAACTGGGAGAGATGCAGGAAAGTCAAGCACACGGGAGAGGCACGGGAATAACAAGCAGGGAGCTGCAGGGAGCCACACGAGATGAAACAAGTCGGAGCAAACGAAATGCTTGGACAGCTTGAATGCTTGAGGCCTTTGAAAAAGGTGCAAGGAAGACGAGGAATGGGGTAGGAACGGGGCGCACCTGTTTGCATGGACCCTTGCCCCACCCCATACTCTCCCTTCGCTGCTGGACGCCCTGCTCCCACACTCTCCCGCCCCTCCTTCCCAGGCAATGCTCTCATTGCTGCTCGATTGCTCCCTCGCCTCTGCTGCACATCCCCCCTGTTGGCCCTGCGCATCCCTCTATCCCCCCCCTCCTGCCCACACTCAGCGTCCCTGCAGAGGAATTGGGTTGGGAGGAGGAGGGAGGTGTGGCCGAGTCAAGGTAAAAAGGAGGGGCAGCAGTAACCAAGAAGGCAAGGAAGCAGCGACAACTCAGCTCAGCAGCAGTCAGAAAGGCACCTCACCTTCTTGAGCCGACACACTCCCGATACTCTCCCATTACAGCAGAGAAGAGTGCTGCCCCCCAGTAGAGTGCTGCCCCCCTCACTAGAGTGCTGCCCCCACCGTAGAGTGCTGCCCCCTCAGTAGAGTGCTGCCCCCTCAGTAGAGTGCTGCCCCCCTCAGTACAGTGCTGCCCCCCTCAGTAGAGTGCTGCCCCCCCCACCCAGCAGGGGCACCAGCAGAGAAGAGTGCTGCCCCCCCCCCTCCACCAGAGGCACCAGCACGGCCACAAGGGGAGGAGTGCAGGGTAGTGGCGGTGTTGACCCCCACACCCCTCCCCTCAGCCCGCAAGGGAAAAACTGTAGAGCAGTTGATGGGTGTGGATGGGTGTGGATGGGTGGGGAGGGGTGGTGGGAGATAGCAGCAGAGGGACCACTGGAGCAGCACTAGGCACACGGTGCAGACCCAAGGGGTGTATGCATCAAGAGGGGGGTATACAATAAGTGTAAAGGGTTTACTGGTAGGCTTAACCTGGGGGCTGTGGGGGGGGGGATACCTGCAATAGGGGGTCTGCACCATGTGGGCTGGGCTGCTGCCAGTGGTTTGGGCTTCAAGAGAGGAGGCAAGCAGCGTGGATGGAATGATGAGGCGCGCGTGCACGCGCCCAGTGTATGTGTCAGTGTGTGTAGTGTGTGTGTGAGTGTGCGTGTATGTGTGAGAGTGTGTGTGTGTGTGTGAGCGTACGTGTGAGTGAGTGTGTGAGGGCAAGCAGTGAAACAAGGAAAAGGCGGGTGTGTGTGAACGGTAATTACGTGATCATTTACGGGGGCTGTCTGTGGCGCTGCTGCGCTCAGTGGTAACAGCAGCAGCAGCACCGCTACCACCACAGCAGCCACTCCAGCCACTGCAGAGGAGGGTACCTGCAGTAGCCTCTGCTGCCTGCAATTTAAGCAGCGCTCACAGCAGAGACTGCAGCAGCAGCAGCAGCCACTACCACCACAGCAGCCACTTCAGGCACTGCAGAGGAGGGTACCTGCACTGCACGGCCACAGGGGAGGGGCGCGGGGGGGCGTCGCCTCGGTGCGGGCCCCACGTCCCTCCCCTCCACCTGCAATGCACATACAGCGAGAGTCAGCGTGCAGCAAAGGGGACTGAAAGCGAGGCTAGAGTGAAGCAACGCAACGAGTGAAATGCAGCATGATGGAAGGGGCCACGGGTGGTGGTAATGATTTGCAGAACTTACAAAGCTGAGAGCAAGGTCCACGGTTGCAGCAGCAACACCCAGGGCACAGACCAGGGGAACGAGAACTACCAGAAAATGTGGGGGGGGTTGTTACCAAAATGATTGGGAGGAGGGGGGGGAGGGGGGGAGGGGGGTACCAAAAAAACGTGGGGTTACCCAGGGTGGGGGTGGGCTTTACCGGAAGTAGCTGGTCTGTAGCCTGTGCTCTGGACTGCAACCAGAGCGGCCGTTTCAAGGATGTGGCACGCATGGGATGAGATGGCATGGCATGCGATGGCTTGGCATGGCATGGCATGGGGTAGGAAGGCATGGCACGGATGGGGTGGCATGGATGGCATGCTCGAGTACAAGCAGGCAGTAGGGTGAGAGTACTTATCTTAGAAGCTTGGAGGTGTTGCCGCTTCCCCTCCTTCCCCTCACTCCCGCCCCTCCCCTTTCCTCCCCTCCCCTCCCCTCCCCTCCCGTTTCCGCCCCTCCCCTGCTGCGCCCTGTGAGCACTGAGGACGCTGGAGAGGAAATGAGGGGAGGGGAGGGGTCAGGCAGAGGCGAGGTTAGGAAGGTGGAGAGCGACGGTGCGAGGAGTGGTGCGAGCTACGGTGAGAGCTACAGTGGCTCTGATGGGTGGTGACCAGTGGTGATGGGCGGTGATGGTTGGTGGTTGGCGGATTGCAACTTACAAAGCAGAGTGCAACGAAGACCACAGTTGCAGCAGCAGCACCCAGGGCACAGACCAGCAGGAAGGGGGGTTAACAAAAAATGGGGGGGGGAGTACCAAAAAAAGCAGGGGTTACCGAAAGTAGCCTGTGCCTGTGCCGGAAGTAGCCGGTCTGTAGCCTGTGCTCTGGGCTGCAACCAGAGCGGCCGTTTTAAGGATTTGGCATGATGTGGTATCCATGGGATGGCATGGCATGGCATGCACGAGTACAAGCAGGCAGTAGGCTGAGAGTACTTAGCTTAGAGGCGTGCTTTGAGGCGTGCTGCTTACCCCTCCTCCCCATCTCTTCCTTCCCCTCCTTCCCGCCCCTCCCCTGTCCTCCCCTTCCCCTGCTCCCTGCATCAGCCGAGGACACTGCAGAGGAATTGCGGGGAAGCGGAAGGGTAAAGCAGAGCAAGGTTAGGAAGGTGGAGAGCTACAGTGGTTCTGAAGAGTGGTGATGGGTGGTGATGGGTGGTGATGGGTGGTGATGGGTGGTGATGGGTGGAACGCATGGTGGTGAATGATAAGATGCGGAACCGTTGCAGAGTGCAAGGAAGGCCCCCGTTGCAGCAGCACCCAGGCCACAGACCAGGGGGGCAACACAAAAAAGGGGAGGGGGGTACCAAAAAAAAGGCAGGGGGCTGGGGAGGGAGGCCCCGGGGGGGAGGGGGGGGCGGGGGGGGTATACCAAAAACACAGGGGGGGTTCCTTACCGGAAGTAGCTGGTCTGCGGGCTGTGACCTGGGCTGAAACCAGAGGGGCCGTTTCAAGGATGTGGCATGGTGTGGCACGCATGGCATGGCATCACGTGGCATACACGAGTTAGCAGCAGGGCGAGCGTACTTAGCTTAGCTTAGTCGCATGAGGGTGACGTGTTGCCACTTGCCCATTCTTCCCTGCCCTGGTGCCCTCCCTCCCTCCCTTCCCTGCTGCTACTGCTGCCGCCCAACCTCCACTCTGCCGCCCATGCTCCAGCCTGCACCAATCACAGCCACACCCTCATCATCCACACTCGCCCCTTCCTCCCCTCCCCATGCCACGGCCAACACGCACAGAGGAACGGCTGTGAGCAGCAGAGGGAGAAGGGCGGACGACTCGAATGGACGAGCATGACTCGAGACGATCTAGCGGCCGCCTGTAGACTCAAACGCCCCCCCACAGGCATTTCCCCCGGACTTACCATGTAGGAGGAGGGAGGGGTTAAGGGGGGAGAGAAGAGGGAAGAAGCCAAGTGCCTCCATAATCACTGGTGCCGCCACTGCCGCCCAGACTGCAGTCTGCCAGCCATGATCCAACACACACACTCTCCTCCCCTTCCCCCCCTCCCTCCCACAGCAGACTGCACAGCCTTGGAGGCTCGGAGACCGTAAGTACGCCCACCCCCATGCAAGCACGAAAAGGTAAACAGAAGAGGACGCAGGGGTTAGCAGCAGGACGAGAGGGGGGACGACTCGAATGGACGAGCGTGACTCGAGACGCTCTAGCGGCGGCCTGCAGACTCAATCGCCCCCCCACAGGCATTTCCCCCGGACTTTACCGTGTAGGAGGAGGGAGGGGATGGGTGGGCGGGGGGGAGAAGGGGCACGAGGCCGAGCAACGCCCGATCCACTGCGTGCGCTGCCGAACCTGCATTCCGCCAGCCAAGTTTCTCTCGCTCAACCTACAGACTCGGTGGCTCGGAGAGGCCATAGCCCACACGCGCACACACAAACAGAAAGCAATAGAGGAACGGGCGTGTTAGGAGCGGTTGGAAAGGGCGACGACTCAATGCAAGGAAGAGTGGACAGACGCGCTAGGCGGCGACGCCTACTCGTCCCCCCCAAAGGCATGTCCCCTGCGCGTACCATGCATGCGGTGTCGGGTTGGCAAACGAGCGGCGCAGAACGGCCGTGCATCTTCTCGCTGCTCTGCGGTGCGTCACCCGTGCTTGCTGCCACCCACCTCCTCCCTTCTCCTCTCTGTCCGCCCTTCGTCGGAGGCACCGGTGGCTCGGACACACACACAAGCACCACAAAGCGGCACGCACGCACAGGGAGGGCTGGTTAGCAGCGGCACGGAAAAGGCTGGACTCGCAGCAAGGACGAATCGACAGACGCGCTAGGCGGCGACACCTACTCGTGTCCCCCCAAGAGGCTTTCCCGCGGACGTACCAGCAGCGAGATCGCGGGCAGGAACGACGGCGACGGCAGAGAGACGATGCCAATCACGGCGACGGCTGGGGAATCGCAAGGAGATCATGAAGGTGCAGCCTATGCTCAGACGACCGCACAGCACGACGTGTCGTCTGCACGAGGCCGGACAAGATAAGGAAAGCGTGTCAGTTGCGAGCGCGAAAATAGAACTGCACCACGGAAATCCAGGTGCTGAATAGCAGAGCACTTCAGTGTGGTTGAATTTCCGAGCTGAAGTTGACGGAATGACGGAATAGCAGAACAGCATAGTTGGAGGTTTACCTTGACAAGGCGGTGAAGGGCGACGAGGAGCGGTGGGGAGCGGTGATGAGCGGCACCAGTTTCAGGTCGAGCCGACTGGTGGCATTCGATTGCAATTGATCGCCTTCCAATCGCGTGCAGGTTCAGAAGCGACCAATCGATCGCAGGTTGACTTGGTCAGGTCGCACGCGGCAATTTGGAGAGGGCTTGAGTTCGGCCGATCTGTCAGAAACACCAGTTTGACGGTAAACAGAAATTTGACGGCGGAAATTTAGTTTGACGGGAAATATCAGTGTCCAAGAAATGACAAGCTGGACGAAATCAACCGGCTTGACGAAAGATTTCTGCGCCCAACCACACACCTCACCAAATCACCAGGTTGACGGCAACCGTCAGGCTGAACCCAACATCGTCGCAACTTGCACTTCCTTGCTGCATGGCTCCTCGGTCGCTCCTCGCTGCTTCGACGGAGTACGACTGAGAAATGAGCAGCTTGACCCGACACCACGAGCATCGCGGATGAAATACAAGCAACTGCCATTACCGCCGGGCTTCATAGCACCTGCAATCGCGCGGTAAAACGAGAAAGGTTAGTGAACGAAGCGATTGAACATAATTTCAGGGGATTAACGACGGCGGACGTTTTTCGTTACCTTGAAACGGATTTTGACCGACTCGATGACGACGCGTGAAAGGCACGGCCACCGTCGAGTCCTCGATAAAATCCGTCCGCGGAGCACTTGGACCGCAATACTCGTGACGACTGTAAGTAGCGGCGACGACCCGACAAACCTCGACCGCGTCACTTGCGACCGCCAAGTCCGTGAGCAGCCAGAGGCACATGGTGTGAGCGACTTCGATGCGCGACCGGTGCGACCGTTGCGATCGCGACGACCGTTCGTCCGGCGCATGCCGGTCATTTTGACGACGTTTTTTTAGTCGACTCAAAAATCGACTCATTACACGGGTCATTTTGACGACGCGAAGGCTGCGGCGGACGTCGCGATGAGCCGCGTCGAAGCAGGCAGGCCAGTTCGTCTGAGCCGACGTAGTTCGCCTCGCTCTGCGCTAGAAAGCAGAGCTGAACGCGACCGTCGTTGGTAGCAGCGAAGCTGAGGCGAGTGAGGGAAGGCGGAACTAGGAGCGGAGGGACCGCGAAAGAAGCTGAAAGCTAAGAACGAGAGTTGGAAAGAGCGACTCCCAGCACGCGATGGGTGACGACTTGCCGTGTGAGCTTGGTCAGCTCAGCACGGCGGGAGGGATGGCCGGGACTCCCAGTGGGACGCAGGGAGGGTGGCTCGCTCGCAGAAAGCCTAGTTAGGACCATTCGTTCAATTGTCACTGGCGGTGCCAATGGCGGTGCACTTTGGTGGTTTCCTAAGAACCGAGGTGCCACTGGCGGTGGATTCCTGTCGCCGAATGCGAAAGATCGATTCGAGGTTGTTTTCGCGAGGCGCACGGTTTTGGTTTTAGGCGGGAAGGCTTGGCGACACGACGAAACGGACGCTAACGGATCACAAATACGCGCGGAGAATGTTATACGCGCCTTGGTGGGAGGTTCGACACGGGGTTCACGTGACCCGGTGAGGTGAGTAAGGACAAGGAATTGAATTGAATTGCCGAGGTGAATTCAATTCGAAGCCGGGGATGGAAG